TCAGGAAAATAAGTGGCAAGCCACATTGATTTTTTTAAGAAGTGTATTAGCTATTTCTGATGCACACTTCCATGGAAGTGAATCCCACCATATTCATAAGGCTTACTCAAGGAAATGTGCACCACATTGCTTCTAGTTTTTGCCTTGCATGTGATGAAGGTAGATTTGGAGACCTTGTTTGCATAAATCAGTGAAAATATATTTTCATGATTGCAGCATGGTTTTATAGTGCCCTTCCTCCAGGAGACTCAAGGTCAGTCAAGGAACTCCCACACAGACAGTATCTTGATAACAGCCCTGTGAAGCAGGTTAGGATGTGAGAGAACAAGTGGCTGAAGGTCACAAAGGAAGATCCATGGTTCAGCTGGGACTTATTCCTAGGCAACCCATTCCAACACTGTTTGCTGCCTTTCACTTTAATGTGAATTACTATTCTGCAACTGGAAAAGATGCTCCTTCTCATTCTTATTTGTTTACATAGTGCAACAAAGTGAATTAGGGAAGTCTGTCGCTATGTTGGTATAAACAGAGCTTGAGAAAGTTGCCCCTTGGGCTACCATTCCTAAAAACTTCAGAAAGCACAATTAGTTTCTGAAACTCTGAAAGCTGCAGTTCTTAGAAGTGCCTTCAAAGTGTTGGTTTTGATATGAGATGAGATGGAGAACAACTGTTTCTCTGACAGACTTCTTGGCTGAAACAAAGGCTGCTCCTGCTGCTGCTGTTGTTGTTGTGTGCCTTCAAGTTATTTCTGGCTTATGATCACCCTAATGTGAACCTATTAGTTTTTTGATAGAAATATATCGAAGGGACTGAGAATGTACGATTTATCTCAGTCCACCCAGTAGGTTTCCTTGGCTGAGCAAGGTATCAAGCCCTCATCTCCCAATGTCCTAGTCCAGCATTCAAACCACAGCATCACCCTGGCTCTCTAGTTTAGTGCGGTAAATCTGAACTGGTCAAAGCTATATGTGTATGTTTGTGTGTTGGAGAAGTAAAGATTGAGGAAGTTGAAAGAGAAAAAGCAATCCCTGTCCGGCAGTGTCCCCCACTGACTCATCTTTTATGAGTCCTTTGGCACAAGCAGCCTTGTTTATTCTAGCCTTCTCTTCTGCAGTATTGGAGCAAAGTAATTGTCTGGTGGTAAGTCCAGATTTCTGTTAAAGTACCTAAAAACAGCTGATTGGTGGAGCCTGGACTGGAAGGAACAAGTTCCAGATCAGAAAGGTTTAAGGCCCTGCTGGACTCGCAGCAGACCTGACCAGCATGGTCAGTAGTCAGGGATGATGTGAGGTATAGTTTATCAACACCCGAAAGGCCACAGGTTTCCCACTACAAAGATTGGTAGACTAGCTGAGTTCTTTCTCCTTCTCCTTCCTCTTTGTGGTCTGGAACGCAATGCTCGCTCTTCCCTGGAACAGATCCAGGTTTTTGTACACTGCAAAAGATAGAATACATACCAACACTCACTTTTAATCTGCTTGGGGGGAATGGTTTTCCCTTACCTTTTGTCTCAAGAACAAATTAGAGTTGAAGCATTCACTCACATGGATTCAAACAGAATAATTAGGGATTGCTACCAATCACCTTCTGTGTACCTTGACATCTCTCAAACTAATGTAAATCAAACCTCCATGCCTCCTTTTACAAACTTGTGTCAAATGGTGGTCCCAGGATCACTGAAGACGAAATGCCTCAAATGGTGCAGAATTGTTTCACAAATACACAGTAGCCCAAGGATGGGACGGTTGTAGTCATTGATCTAGATTTCTGTTAGTGTGTGGTCTGTTATTCTGTCTGTCTTCTTCAGAACTCAGAGACATTTTCACTACAGACCTCAGGTAACTTACATATCACTAAATCCTGAATGCCACACCTTGTTTTGAGGTGTCTGCTGCATTATTTGATGCTAATAATAGTCTTAGTTTGTCGATTTAAGATAACAGACTCTCTTCTTCCCTTTTGTACCTTTGTATATCAGTTGGGATAGTATTCTTTTGTCTATTGCTCCTCATGTTTGCTAAAACAAAAAACAAAGAAATCTCTGCCTGGGATGAGTCAAACAGGGAAATGTTAAGACAACAGGGTTTTTTGGTTTTTTTTTTGGCTTTTTGCCAAACCAAAAGAAATTATATACAACTATTGAATTTCAAGTGAAGGTGTGGCGAGCCAATTAATATTGGATTGAAATATGTCAAAACTCAGAAATGACCCAAACTTTGCTGTTATTCATGAGTCAGTTTTTTCCTTTGATTCTTTTTATATGTCTAGCAGTGTACCAGTTTTCAGTGATAAATCATTTTTTCACCAGGTGCAGAGGAAGAGCATAATGACGACACAGAAACCTCAAATAAAAACTAGTTCTCTAATTTAAAAATATATACAGCTCTACTCATTTCAGATGCGGTGAAATACTGCTAGATTTGAATGATGTGGAGAGTAGAGAAGAGATTTTGACACGGATCTGTCTTAGCCATATAGTTCTGACATTTATATTCTACCTATATTATAAAAAACAAAGAGACAATGTAAGGCCGTAGCCTGCAGAACCTAGCAACGTTCATGGCTTTGTTGTTTTTGGAATTACCAGAATTCTCAAGCTGGTCTTGGATTCTGTAATCTAAAAGTAACTGTTCCAGACTCTCCAAACCAAGCAACTTAGTTGCAGATTAAAAGAGAAAGTTAGTACTTTTAGTTTTGCTCCCCAGAGACTTAGAAGCCCATGCTCGATTTGGTGTCAGGTCCTGGGCCACAAGACTTGGAAAAAAAATTGACTACTAAAATTCCCCAGTGAGTATAGCCAGCAGCCATGTGTTGGTAGGTATATTACTCGGAATCTAATCAAGATTCTCTACTAGATATTACAATCGTTATTGCTCATGTGTTTGTTTAATCAGAGCAGCAAATGAGGAGTCAATTGGTACAAAGAGTGGCAGGAAGAGGAGCTTCTTTTGTTCTTTGAACTACAAGTTGCAATTATCCAGGTAGCTAAAGGAAGCCCCCAGTTATCTGATGGGTTAGGCACCAGAGCACTGTCAGAAAGTGAAATCTGTTGAAAATTGGAACCTAGGTTATTTTCATTTCTAAAAACATAAATAACACACCAGGTATCACTGTTGAATACATCTTAAAGCTAAAATAACATTTTCATACATTAAAAAATGATTCAAGGAGGAACCTGCTTTTTCTATAGGAAGCCTTGGAACCATGCACGTGCATACAAGCAGTCCCAAGCAAGCCTCATAGGCCAGAAGAAACGGGTGAAAGAGAACACCCCTTGCTGAATTAATAGAATTTGTGTGTAATTTGTAAGCATTAAAAGAGAAACACGTCAGAAAGTGAGGCATCAAAAACAGAAGAAGACTTCTTGGTCTCCACCAAGCTCAGTAACTCCCCTTTGCAGTGACTTTTGACAACTGGCACCTTCATCCAGACATATCCTTGCTCGCAGTCTGTAAACAAGAAAACAAAATCTCCCCAACTGCTTTTGCTACCATTTTTGCTTCTTTTTCTGGTCACCAGCAAGGTACCTCTGAGCATCATCAGCTATTACTACTAAAATTTTGTCCCAGTTTTGTTTATCCAATTGCAAAGAGGAAGAATTCAGTGTGTATCATTTTCCTTGGGTTCATTAGAACTGATACTTTCTGAAAAAGCCAAGTAAGATGTATAGAATTTCTGCTGGATGCAAAAAACAGGGGCTTTGCATTGTCCAAAATGGCTTTTTTATATTTCTGGAGGATATTTTTCCTTTGCACAAATAACATTATTGCTAACTTTGTGACAATAGCTTTCAGTCTTTTATATTTTATGTCTCCCTTGTCAAAGAATCTAGTTATACCATCATAGAAACAAAAGGATCCCTTTTCCAACGATGAACGTAATGAGTTTACAGACATTCTGTTATTATATATATTGTTTGCAGTAGGATTTAGGGGTATAAAATTGCAGTAATATTGTTAAGAATAAAAACAAACTAAATTCCCCATTTGTAGTGGGAAATTGTAATATGAGTTATGTATTCAATTTTACAATTTATGTTGAGCATATCTTTTATTGCTACAGGAACTGTAAAGTGCAGAGAACCTAAATTAACTATTGTTGTGTTATTACTGGAAATTATGTTTATGCTAGGACTAAAATACCTGTATCCCGAGTAGACCATTTATGTATTCATATTTTAGTTTAGTTTATTTCAAAATATTCAAAAATGTATGCAAAGTACAAACATATGCCACTGTTTAAGAAGTTCATTGGTATCCTTGAATGTTTCTGTTGTTGTCTGAGCTTTTTAGTGCTTAGAGTTTGGGAAAAAATTGTGCTGTTCTTTTATGTTCATTTTATTACATTGTATAAAAGTTATTTTGTGTTGGCCCTAATCTTCTTCCACCCCAATTACCTCCTTGAGATGCTTTTTTCTTCCGTTCATCTTTATGCTGATAGAGTAAAACATCAACACTAAATTCCAATTTAATTATGATATTTACTTTTGCCAGTTTGCCCCAAGGTGTCTTACAAATATTGATAAAAATTGAAATAACAATTAAGGCAACAGACAAAACCAGTAAAGCTGCAAACTAATTAAACAGCAGAAAGACAATTATTGTTTTGGGCCTCAAAAGGCTTTTGCCTGGCATCTTGAAGATAACTAAGGACCATGTACAAAGCTACATAGCTTAAGAGTTGGAACAGAAAAGATCCTTTGTCCAGTAGCTGCCTGCCTGACCTTAAAACTGGGGAAACCCAGACCAGTCTGAAATAGATCTGTGCTGATGGTTTAGTTCATGTGAATCAAGGCTGCTTTTTGGAATGTAGTGTTCCAGGTGTTGTTGGATTGTAGCTTCCAGCATTTTTCACCACCGTTGCTGCTGGCCAGGGCTGGTGGGAGCTGCTGTCCAACAAAGCTTAACAACATCTAACGGCTGCATAGATATTCTACAACTGGGTGCCCCTTATGAATAGTGGCCTGATTTCTGATGGTCTCTGTTGCGTTCCTTTTGCAGAAGACCAGGTGGCTCAGGAGACGGAGGAGGTGTTCCAGAGCTACGCTTTCTACCGGTATCAACAGGAGCGGGAGCAGACTGAGGGGGATGTGCCACATGACCCAGAAATAGCTGAGGTCCCACATGAGCCAAATAGGTAGAGTCTCATAAAAGCTACCTTTGTGTCCACCCCAGATCCAAGACAGGGTTGTGTGCCTGGCTTGCCTTCACACCTGTTATCTTAAATAAATAAATAAATAAATATTCTCTCTGTCTCTCTCTGCTAGCACAAATTGCCTGGTGGGCAGGCGCCTGGCCACTATTGGTGACGACATCAATGCCCGCTATGACAAGGAGTTCTCGGAAATGTTGAAGTCACTCCAGCCAACAAAGGACAACGCCTATGAGTACTTTATTAGAATAGCCAGCAGGTAGGTCAAGACACCAAGCCTCCTCTTTCATATCTCAAAATGCATGTAAGAGCCTGGATAATTCTTCTTGCCGGACTTACTTTTGGGCATAGCCTTCAGTGGGAAACTGTGGCCCTGTCAATGTTGTTGGTCTACAACTCTCATTTCCCTTGACCACTCACCATGAACAAAGCAGATGGAACTTGAATATGCAAGTGATCTATGTCATTCTGGTCTATATTATCATTGCTTTCAAAATATTGTATGTATTTTTTCGGCGAATCATTCATCACTCCAAAGTATTTTATTTAAAGCTGTGAACTGAAGCTGCAGATTTTTCTAATTTTTTCCTTAGTAAAATTAGACTTAGTAAGCCCTTTTTAAAATATATATATATATCCTCCAAGAAATTTTGCCTAATGTTGGCCACTACCCTGATTAAGTCCCATATGTTGTTATTCTCGTCTATATTATCCTTGCTTTCAAAATATTGTATGTATTTTTGGAAGTTTAAAGGACATCACAGTAGGCCCTCCACTTCTTCATGAGTTACGAGGGACACAGAACCAATAGAATAGAATAGAAATACCTCAAGCGGAGGGGAGTATTTTTTTAATCTGAGAAAACACCTCTCTAGGAATCTCTAGGTCTTCCAGGGCAACTGTGGTCAACTTTTTCAAGATATTGTGGTAAAAGTTGACTAGCATTGTGCTGTGGGGGGGGGGGGTAGAGACAACATACTAATCAAATAAACTACTTGGCAAAAGTTACATCCCCAAATGTGAGGGCCCACTTTAAAATGATGGCATTAATTAAATGAATGAGGACAGTAATTTTGGGAGGCCGGAGTCTTCTTTCCAATGTGGCAATTGGAAGGGGGACTTCGCCCATTTGGTATCTCTCATGCTTTACCTTTCTACCAAAGATCCCGCACCACATGTTCATCCTTATGTGTGTACACAGATCCACTCCTTGCTCTCTGTTAATGTTGTTTAACTATTTCTTCTGTCCTCTTTTTCTGCTCTCCCCTCCTTGGAAAGCCAAATGGCATTGTTCTTGCTTCTGTACCACCAGTACAATGTGGTGGTCAGTGTACTGCAATCAGGTAAACAGCTACAGTACTTATATATACTTCCTCTTTTTCCTCCTTTTCAATATGGTAATACATGTCAGTTAACAGTATTCCAAGGTTAGATAACACAATGGTTTGCATACCACTGGTCTTATCCTGTTATCCTGTTAAAATGCTAACTTTTGGCTATTGTTTAAAAGGAATCAGCCAGGTGCACTTACTGCGGAGACTCTGGCTAACCCGCTCTGGCCATGCACAGAATGAAGTAGAATTCTATGGATTAATGCCACCTCAGAGAAAAATAACAAAACACTCACCTTCAAAAAATGTATACCCAGAAAAGAATTCATTTGAAAATTCAAAATCCAGAGCAGGCATAGTGTGCTTTGTGCTTATGTAAAACATATCTTCCCAAAGTCTCTCATTTTGCTTTGCCTCAAAAACAATAGCAAGATGTTAGCAGGTGTTGCTAGCTCCTTAAACAACTATCTGTAGTAGTTCTGCTTTCATCCTGATTTTCTCCCTCCCCCTTCCCTTTGGCTAGCATTTTACATGAAACCACAACCTTGTCAGGTTTCTTAATGAGTTATTCTATAAGTTAGAGTTACATCAGAGATAAAGGACACATAGGGTTCCAACTAGAGGTGGGAATTGCCACAATACGCCAGTTTAATGCTTGTCTTTCTACAGGCAGGTACTCACTCCTTGGAGCAAATGAGAATGTAATGTGATATATATATAATGTATATGTATCAGGCATGGGCAAACTTTTTGATACATTGTGTTTTAAAATTTGACAGATGGGCTGGGCCAGTGGCGGATGGAGAGTGTTTGTGTAAACTAATTTTTTTAAAAAAACATGAGCAAATTCCTGTGCACACTGTATATATATCATTTGTAGAGCAACTAAGAGAAAAAAAATTAAAACAAAAAACCATTTTAACCAACATAAACTTAACAGTATTTAAGACCCCAGGGGCCATCCAGTCTCACCCCCTTCTGCCATTTAGGAAAAACACACTCAGAGCACCCGCACAGATTCCCCTTTAGCCTTTGTAATAATAATAACAATAGTAATAGGAGCAACCCCACGTGCCATCCATTCCAAACCCTTCTGCCATGCAGGAAAAGCACAATCTACATAGCCCCTGATTGGTGGGAGAGAAATAGTTTTGAAAGCAAGTGAGGCAAGGAAAAAAGGCATTTGCGGGTAAGCGAAGTGGGAGAGGGGAAGGATCAGGAAAGTGGGGGAGGAAAAGCTTGGAGGAGGATAAGGGAACTGTCCCCAGAGCACACTGAGAACCGCTGGTCTAAACCAAGTTGGTAGTTCCTGGTTCCCTCAGGGGCTGCACCAAGAATCACAGACCCCTGGGAGGAAGGAGTCACAATTTGTCATGAAGACAGACTCCACTAACTCCCCAAATCCACAAGCCAGCAGCGTGGTAAGTTGTGCAACTCCCCTTGGGCTGCAACTGGTGGTTGCCTCTTTTTAAATCTTTCTGAGATATATTTCTGCTGCACTTCCAGGCCAGGCTGAAGTCCAACTTGCAGAGAAGATGTCCAGGAAGGGGAAGTTTTAACTTTAGGAATATAACTTGACCGGGAAATGTCTAAATTTTAGTTGGGGTATGCATTCACCTGATAGTACAATATTAGACTAGGTGAAAGGGTATCATGGCATCTTTCTCCTACTCTGCTGGGAGTAGGTCCCTTGAGTGACAGTTTCAGGGTCTTGGCTGCCCTTCATTCACCTACTACTGGCTACTTCAAGTCCAGCTATTAGTGCTGCCCATTGCAGCGTGTGACTGGGCTGCATCCCAGTAGGGGGCAGCAAAGGGCCAGCTAGAAAAGTAGCCCTTTAATAAAATGTATATCTTCTCTTCCACAGTTTGTTTGAAAGTGGCATAAACTGGGGCCGTGTGATAGCACTGTTGGGCTTTGGCTACAGGATGGCAATCCATGTATACCAGCATGGGATAACTGGATTCCTGAGGAGAATTGCACGCTACATGGCTGATTTTGTTCTCCGCAACCGCATCGCCCGGTGGATTGCCCAGCAGGGCGGATGGGTAAGTGGACCTGAGAGCCAAATGAGTGTCCTGTGTGGGACTTCCACCACTGCCACCTCAGATACTCCTGATTTCTTTTGACCAGTGTTGTAGAGGATGAGGAACATGAGGAAACACAACCTCAGAACAGAGATGGTGGGAATATGATATCACCCACCTTGTTGAATTTTTGGTGTTTGATTAGGCTGGACAGTGTTCACTGATTTACCTTGTTTTGAAAATGTTTTATTTATTGTGCCAAGTTCTGAGATTTTTGGATATAGGATGATCCCAAGATGAATGGATGTATCCTTGAAGTGATTGGCTTGACTTTGAAGGAGCTGGGGGTGGCTACAGCCAACAGGGAGCTCTGGCGTGGGCTGGTCCATGAAGTCATGAAGAGTCAGAAGCGACTGAACAAATAAACAACATCACCATCACAATCCAAATAGTGACAATGGATGGTCACCTGAGGGCCCTCCACATAGCCATGTAACCCAGAATATCAAGGCAGAAAATCCCACAATATCCGTTTTGAACTGGGTTGTCCTGAGTCCACACTGCCATATATTCCAGTTCAAAGCAGAAAATGTGGGGTTTTATTTAGCTGTGTGGAAGGAGCCAGTTTTATAGTCCACCAGATGTTACTAAGTGGAACTTGGATTAAAGATGTGGTAATCCCTAGGATACTAGTATATTGCTCAGAAAGAAACTCTTTTGCATTTCTTGAAAAATTCAACCATGTGGATTCTTCATTTTCCATTAATAATATGTTGTCATGTAGCAATTGTGCAACAGGCTAATATAAACAATCAGAATGAGCCTCATTGTTGGTCACACAGGCTGGAGAATTCTCAAAATTACAGTCCAAAAAATAATGTAGCAAGACTCACATTTTTAAAGAAAACCACGAGGAGTTTATGGTTGACTGTGCTTTCTTTCTTCTCTAGGTGGCAGCATTGGACTTAAGCAACGTGTACTTGAAGTATGTGCTGATAATGGCGGCTGTGATCTTGCTAGGCCAGTTTGTGGTGCGGCGCTTCTTCAACCCATGACAGGAAAGGAGAGGCTGCTGGCCCCAGTTGCCGGCCAGTCTTGGACTCACTGCTCTGCAGTGATCATTTTGAAGAGAGGAGAAATCCAAAAACAACCAAAGGAAGCCAGATGTGCTTTACCAGCTTCTGCTCCAGAATTGTCACCAGTTTATTAACCATCCACATGGAGACTAAAAAAAAAAGCAAATCCAGAGCATAGTATTTTACAAAATGGGTGGAAGTGAGCATAGGAAAGGATGTAATCACTTTGAGAGGTTTCAGGGGCCAGTGTTGTGAGAAGGCAAAAGGGATACATTTTCCTCCAGAAACTTCCTTAAGAAGAATGAATTTTCTCCCCCAAACTTACAACGTTCTCAGGGCCAGTTGAACCCTCGCCCCTCTGAAAAGCAGGTGCATGAGCCCCACGTAATGTGGCTGCTTGCTCCCCCTGAATGTGTTGAGATCAATCTTTTAACATCCACTAGCTTTTCTATCACTGAAATAATTATGTGGCTTTTAATTGTGTAAACCTATCTGTAGATTTATCTGAAGATCATGTGTGTACTTAGCACCATCTTGAAAGGATGTGGGAAAAACCTGTAGCCCATAGTCTTCATCCTTCCTACAGGGAGTTGGACTCCAACTGCAGGGGGCTTTATACCACCACAGTCCCAGCTAAACCGAATGAAATAAATCCCCTCTATAATCTCCAATCAGATATGATGGAGAGAATTCAGTTCGCACCCTCAACTGATATTGACTTCCAGCCATCTCTGGAAGTGCTTGCTGAAAGTCCTGTTGCTTTCTCTGGTCCAAAGATGGCCAGTGGGAAGAAGAACACATAATCTCAAGATCCTGCTTCTATCAGACCTTTCAAATGCAAGGAAGCCAAAATTGGACCCTCAGCCAAACTTGCAAGCAGTAGCCAAGTCCTAATTAGGACTTAGACAGTTCTGGCTGAGAGCACTATGAAGTCTTTCACCATTTCTTCATGCAAAGAGGGAATGCATAGAGTGAACTGGAATCTTAGCCAAAGTAGAAGGTTGAAATGTTTTTGCCCAGTTGTGCCAAGGCATAGCCACTAAGTACCACTGGGTGGGTTTCTGGACCACACCAGGAAGTCATTCCGTAACCCTGCTCTGAGATCTGTGTATATGCCAGAAGAGTGTGTACCTAATGCATTTTCAAGAATGGAGTGGATTTTTGCAATAATGTTACATATGAACTTCTCCTCCATCCACCTAATGACTTCATAAGACAGATGTAGAACTCTGTGGAGCTCTATCGCCTCACATGTTTTCAGCTACTTGGCAATGATCCCTCTGTCCTTATGGCGAGAAAGCTCATTTCAGAAGGGTCCAGATATGGCTTGCTTCTCTCCCAACTGAATTCAACAGAAATTCCTCCCTTCCCTATTGCTGTCCCACTTTTAAAAAACAGGCTTTTTCAGGAGGAATTGGAGAGAGAGTTGATGTTTTTGAAATAGTGAAAGGAAGTTAAGATCTTTGGAAAGGGGATCCAGATTCCATCATATTCTTTGGCTTTCTGACAATCACTAGCCAAAAGTTAAATGTGCTTTACACATTAAAATCAAAAAGTGAGTTCTTACTAATAAATGAATCAAAATGTCTACTGAGAAACATAGATCTAAAATGACCAGGCAGCATGTCCAAGGATTTCAGCAGGAACATTGACTTTCTCTCAGCTGAAATTGATGGGCTGCAGATATGTTGTCTGGATCATGCTGCTCTGGAGTTCTTCCAAACATTTCAGAGGAAATACGTACAGTAACCCAAACATTTCAAGCTGGCAGGTTTGTAAAGCTGGAGTGTCTCTTTCAAAGCAGGGTTTTCTTTAAAGTCTACTCTGACTTGAAACAAAATAACTATATTCCTTCCTCAACATTTCCTTTATGCATAATCTTTTTTTTCTTTTTTTTTCTTTTTTTTTTCTTTTTTTTCTTTTTTTTTTTTTTTTGCTGTTAGATTTCGCTTAATTGAAATTTGGGCTAAAATTACTATTGACTTCAGTGAAGCCAAGATTTAGAACACACAACTGAGTTCTTTTTCCTCGCATTACAGAGCTTTGTCAATACACCTGCTTGATCATTTCTTCATAACTTCTTCTTTTATCCAAAGCTCTTTAAATTGAAGCCTTGAAAACTAAGCTTTTATATTCTTTACATTTTATTTTTTAAAGTCACTCCATAGTCTGAAGCTTCTGAATGCACATGGCAACAATATTTGTTTTTCTTAAAATATTAATTTGGCAAACAGAATTGTCATGTGTTTCTCATGTGTATTTCATGCCAGTTTATGCAAGATTACTTTTGAATTAAATCCCATTTCATTTCCTTGCATTACTTTCAAATTTCAGATTTTATTTTCTTTGTTTTAGTAGGTGCCAGTAAATCCCAGGACTTAAAGCAATTGTTTGTTGTTGTTCTTGCATAACAAGACTTTTTTTAAAAAAAAAACCCCTCATATTGTGATTCTAGCATAAAGAGGGACATAATTCTTTAGACCTTTCAATGTAATTTAGTCTTTCATTTAGTCCACGACTGATACTGACTGCCATTTTCATTGTCTTAAAGACTTAAAATTATGTTCTGTGACCTGTCTATGCCACATAGTCTTAGTAAATCTCATTGAACTCAGTGGTCTTGTTTTTGTCTCTGTACAATCTTTGCATAGGTCTATCTCTATGGTATTCTACTAATTTGGGGCAAAAATAGCTGCAACTTTTATAAAGTCGCACAGTCTTGGAGAAGGCAAATGTTGTGATGGTTTTCTGATGAGCGTAGGGCTTTCCTGCTGATGGCATGAGTTTCAGAGCTTCTTTCGTAGCCTCTTTCTGCTTTCTTGATCCAGAGTGTAAGCTAGGAATGTCCCCCAGAAGCTTGGGATGCAAGGTTTTTCCCATTTCCCCCATGTCTCTTCTCTCTATCTCTCAGCTGTCCTTTCCTGCACCTCCACGCCCAGCCTGTGTTTGCCCTCAAAACTCTCAAGTTGGTTTGAGAGGGAGAAAAAAGCTCACACTGCTCACATTGAAAATGGTACAAACTAGCAGAAAATGGCAGTGGGGATGAGAGCACCAGAAGAGAACTACTTTCTAATTTCTCTATGTGCTGTTTAACACTTGCACTGGAGGCTCTCCGGTATGAATAAACAACTTATCATGGGTGGGAATGTTGCTAGCCATGATGGTTCTGGTACTTTAAATCAGCAGTTATGAAATTATGGGCTTCCAAACATTTTGGACTTCAGCTCCCAGAAGCTTTAGCCATGATTGCCAGTGTTTAGGTATTATAGGAGTTGTCAAGTCCAAATAATATAGAAAGCTATAGATGGGGAACCACTGCTCTAGAAGATTTTTTAAATATGTTAAGCAACATTGCACCACAGTCATTTATTGCTTTGTAACAGGCAAGGCGCAATGTAGGCCATGCTTAAACTCATGTAAGTACAGAGTGCAGAAAGCCACTTTCCTAAAATTCACCAGAACAAATCAGCTACCTTAGGCAGCTGATTTTGGATGTAATGGAAAGACAGCAAGTTGTTCAGTTTATCAGATGCAATTAATTTATTTTATTTTACTTCCTGGGAGGAAGAGACACGCTTGTGTGATTTTCTGCCTTGAATATCAAAATAATTTGACTGCATGTTAACTTCAGCGAGCCATTTGTTTTTCCACTTCTATCAGCAAAATGAGTGTGCAAAAATGTATTAAGCAATGGGCTGGGAATGATGGGAATTGTCAACTGCCATCAAGTCAACTTTGACATGATTATTATGAAGAAGGGATCTCCATGTCATCGTATCATCAACTCAGGTCTTGTAAACTCAGGGCTGTGGCTTCCTTCATTGAATCTATCCATCAGGAATGCAGCTTTACTCTTCTCTTATTGCCTTCTTTCTTCCCAAGCATGATTTTTAGTAAGTCCTGTCTTTTCATGATATGGCTAAAGTTACTATGGCCCCGGTTTATTCCCCTTGACTTCTAAGAAGAGTTCAGGCTTCTTGACAGCAGATAGTATCTTTTTACGTTACTCTCTGATAATGTTCCTGTATTCAGTCTAAAGTTCTTCTGGCTTCCAGTCAAATAGTATTAATAGTGCAAATCTATTTTTGTACATTATCTTTAAATTCTATAGGGATGATTTTCAGATTTTATTTTGGTGCTGTGATTGGTTTATTGTTCTGTAACATTACTCTGACTGATATTATGAGTTTATGATCTGTGCCACAATCTATTCCTGGTCTTGTTTTTGAAGAGACAATGGAGCTTCTTCGTCTTTTGCTTCAATTATGTCATTTATTTGATCAATCAGCTGTTCTGCTATTACATTGTTGATCCTACACAAAATCTTCCAACATTGATTCTGCTGTGTTTCCCGCTTTTCCATTCCATTTTCTTGTGATTTTTTTCCACTTCTTTTATAGTTGGAGCATAAATTTAGATTATGGTTATAGTAATATCACCAAAGTCTTATAGATATTATTCAATTAGACTTTTTTTATCCTTTGACTGCTTTTGCATTCTTCATTATTAATGCCACTCCATTCTTATTAGGTTTTCATTTCCTCAATTAAACTCTATGCAGTGTGATTCGAAATGTCCCATTCCTGTCTCCTTCAACTCGCTCAATCCAAGTATAGCAATGTTTATGTATTCCATTTCTTGTCTTACTATTTCTAGGTTCCCCTGATTCATGCTTTTCTCATTTCATGCTCCTATAAGATGTGTAGTGCAACTTCAGACTTTCCTTTCATGACCATCAAGTTGAACATCCTTCCACCTTGAGTCCATTTGCATCATTAATCTCTGTGCAACTCATAGTTGGCCTATAGTGTATGCCAGTAATTCATTGAGTACCTTCTGGTTTTTGAGTTTCACTTTCTGGCATTATCTCTTATTTCATTCTGAATTGTCTCATCATAGGATTTTCATAATCAAATATATTCAAAAGGAGGTTTATTCTGCCTCCTGTGCAGTAATAATGACAATTGTTTGCACAAGGACAACTTGTCTGCTGTTAATTCTGCAAATCAGAATATATATGCTTATATTCTGTTTATAAGACTTTGGCACCTACAAAACATTGTACAGTTTGCTGAGAACTTCCTCCTTTAAAATTAGGCTCCATTCCACTTCCAATATGCCATCTGGCATTTTCTGTGCACTTGCAGCCTTGACTTCACAGTCTCCTCCAACTTAACACCTACCAGATGGTAAATTGTGTTGAACTATGGATTGTTAGATGGTAAATTGTGTTGAACTATGGATAGCAGTAGTACCGGGGGAGAGGGGGGGAGAGGTGAAAGTGGTGAAAGATCTCACAGATACAAAAGCAGTGGCACAACTGCTAACACTTGTTTCTCATCCTTTCTCTTTCCCTTCAGAAAAAAAGTCAAGATAGCGGAGTTTTTCCATCTTGCTCCTGCTGCTCATTAGCAATATACAAATTTAGGAATGGTCACACTGCCCTTTTCTGGCTTGATCCTTGCCAACATGCTGGTTTGAAAAATTCCATCACCAGAGCTTGAAAATGTTACCCTTTGCGGGGTGAACAACAACTTCAATAATATTTCCAGAGTGTGATTCAGGAAGCTGTAGTCCAAGTAGTATCTTACTCTAGCTCTGCATTTATTCTTTGGCATATGAAGAGTTTTTAAAAAGGAAAGACTGCATGGCAGAGGTTGAACTGGTTGATCGGTGTGGTCTCTTCCAACTCTATGATTCTTTGATTCTGTGTTTTTGGGTGCAGATTAGCACAATTCGATATTTCCCTAGCTATCAGAAACTTACCATTCTTTCTCTCCCTCACCCCTATTTTAAATGCATTATTTTGCTTGCCATCACCAAGCCTTACCATGAAGGGGATCGTTAAGCCCTCCATCTGAGCTATAAGAGCCATTGTCACACCAAAACATTACACACACACTCCTAATGAGCTTGGGGCCTCGTATCCACAAAAGATACATGCAGGGCTGCTTCAGATGAGCACTTCCTAGCAGTCGGTACCACATGAGCCATGCCGGGGAGTCCTTTTTAAAATGACATACTTACTTGAAGCCATTATGTAGCTGTGAATTGATTTCCTTTTTTTTTTTTTTTTTGCATTATATTTATTTGCCTCACTTTGTACACAGCTTTCAACCACCCCTTGCCCTCAGGGATTCAAAGGGAACAAAGCCAGCACTCCAAAATCAAGGTGGGAGACATCTTCAGATGCTCTTGAATTGCACCTCCCATCTATAATTTTACTCACAGGTTGGGAGTTG